AGCCTTCCTTCATAGACCTTTAAATCATTCTTGTTGCTCTTCTCTGGACCCTTTCCAATTTCTCCACATCCTTTTTAAAATACGGTGCCCAGAACTGGACACAATACTCCAGCTGAGGCCTAACCAGAGCAGAGTAGAGCGGAAGAATGACTTCTCGTGTCTTGCTCACAACACACCTGTTAATACATCCCAGAATCATGTTTGCTTTTTTTGCAACAGCATCACACTGTTGACTCATATTTAGCTTGTGGTCCATTATAACCCCTAGATCCCTTTCTGCCGTACTCCTTCCTAGACAGTCTCTTCCTATTCTGCATGTGTGAAACTGATTTACATGTGGGTAAAAGCTCCCCCCTCTCCATCCCTCCCAGGCCAAACTTTTCAAACTTCAGTGCCCAAATTTAGGCTTCGAAACACATATTTAGGCTTCTAAACAGAACTGTACTGATTTTCAAAGCCGCCAAACCTTTGCAATGCTCATTAACTTTAGTGAGATTTATATTGGCTCAGCACCTGTGAAAAATCAGGCCCATATAAATGACGTAGGCTCTTAGGAGCCCAACCTGCATACCCGCCTTCTTTGAAAACTTTAGCCCAGAATTGTTTTGGACATTTATATTTGAAGAACTCTGTTCTCTTCATTTAAGTGAAGCTTTTAATCCTCAATCAGATTGCTTTGCTGTTTCTGAGTATTATTATTTAATACCAATAATATTATCTAAATAATTTCACATTCAAAGAAAAACCAGATTAGGAAAAACTAAAGAACAGAGTGCAGAGCCCTATGAAGATGAGCTAGCAACAACAACAAAAAAGTCACCGTAGAAAAAGTGACTTGGAAAATCGTAGCAAAAGATCAGCATTATAGAGGGTTAAATATACATAAGTAGGGCTGGCCTGTTCACACATCCCTGTTATCATTCATCAGACTCTACATGGGAGATCTGACCTGGAGATTCTTCACTCAGAGTGGTCAGTAAGTTGAACCATTCTGCTTGTGGGTCTCTTTGCTATTGTCTGAACTGCTCATAAATTTCTTTGACATTAATAGGATCATCTGTGAGTGAGAATTACTCACATGACTGACAATTGCAAGATGGGCCCTAAATGTGGCATAAAAAACACAAAGTAAAAAGAAAATAGAGCAGGAAGTTTGATTGGGCGGGGAGGTAAGAGGAGTGACTAGAAAGGGCAAGAAGAAAAGGAATATTTGCTCATGAGGGAGTATTAGTGGAACAATATGCGCATTAGAGAATGTGCAATTCTATCACACTATGATCGATTAGGCCTACATTTTCAAAAGTGACTAGTGATTTTGGGTATCTCAATTTTTGGGTGTCCAACTCAAGGCACCTAAAGGGGGTCTGGTGTTCAGGAAGTGATGACAACCCAGCCTTTGAAAATTAAGCTTTTTAGAGATGTTTCAGTTTAGGCACCCAAAACTGAGGGATTCAAAATCCCTGGTCACTTCTGACCATCTGGTGTCCTTGGATAAGGGATGGAAGGCCTTCAAACTTTAGGAAATTTGGTTCCACTAGACAAAGGTTTAGTTTGCTTTTTATTTTGTCTAAATAAGTTCAGCTATCCCTGCATGGCTATTTGATACTGACCAATAACAGCTGAGTCTTTTTGGTTATCATGGCCCTAAGCACTCTGCACAAAGATAGACCTACATTCCACAGCAAGGCCCCCTGGTTCTGATCTATCCCAGTGCTGAATTTGCAGCCCATTGGAAATTTTCTGGCAGCTTCAAGTAAATTCAAACTCTGACGCTTTTATTGAATCATATTTGAAAAATAAATCTTGCAACCAGCATAATATTCCATGTGCTAATTCACCTGATTTTATCCTGCCCCCAAATTTTCCATTCACTGCAGATTTTTGTATTGCCAATGCATAACTGCATTAGAATGGCGGTGGCTTTGGTGGAAAGAGAGTTTTAACCTTGAGAAGCTGTAGGCAGCAGTTTCAGATTTCATATCCACGAGGCAGTTGAATCTGTTGGCAGTAAGGAAGTTCTGGACTTCCTCTTTCACTCACCCTGAGAGGGCAAGGGCAGAGGTGACTTGAACACTTTGGAAAGTTGAACTCCAAGTTTCCTATTCCAGCAACCAACCCCAACCCCCATCTCCCAGTCCCAATATGCTTCAATGCACCAAACAATTATGGATAAGCACATTAACTAGATGCTTCAGCTAAAATGATTGATGTAAAATAGTTAATGTTGATATTTAAAATGCCATCATTAAGCTTCAGCATTAACACCCACGGCATGAGGCAATGCCCACATTTCAGGAACTATTATTTCAGGCCACCTGACTGCTGTATGCTTTCCGGTCTCTTTGAGTGTGCAAGTCAATTAAAGAGCTTGGAATAGAACTCAGATGCTTAGTGCCTGTCTCGAGCAATTAGGCTACAATCCCTCCCATTAATTTAAAAGATTCCTGCCAGTCTGTAATGTATTTTTCCAGGTTCGGGACTTCTTTCTTCTTTTCGCTTTACAAAGTTTGCATCAGTGGAGGTGTGACTACTTTTTGTACCTTTGGGAAGACTAGCAGGATGAAATTTGAGAAACCCTGCCATAAAGATTGGATTTGAAGGATATCAGGCCATCCTGAGACTTTCCATAACCATACTGCTCTGTAAACTTTGTATTTGTAAAACTCACTGCCTTCTGCACTGAGTTGATGGAGTAGCACCTAGGATTGATGGCTCATATGTTGTTTCCAGGTTCTGGCATACAGCTGAGACCAGGGGAGCCTGAGGTTGATGCTGATGCAGAAGAAGACGATTCTGTGAGTAATGTTACTGTTCACTTCTGAAAGCTTGCTAATTAATGTTTTAGTTACACTTTTTTTTCACAAAGATGTGTCTATTATTACTTCTGTTAAGGAGATATCCTGGCAGTTTGATCGGCCTTTTGATAAACTGATGTTCAGATATACAGAATTCGGGGCAATGTCACATGCATTAGAGTGGGGCTCTTTGCATTCAAGGGAGGGCTTTCCCGCTCAGAGATTTATAACGTGCCAGTAAAAGTTATATTCCATGGCATAGCAAATTCTTGTTTTCACAGTGGTTGAATTTTTGTTTCAAGGATGGCCTAACTTGTCCACTGGCATGAGCTTCCCGAGAGACCCCAGAAAGAATTTTGCTGAGTCATCCAGAATTCCTCCTAGGAATTCCAACTGCTATGAGGCTTCACTGCACATCTGAGGTTACTGGGGGCATAATTAACCCTAAAGCAAGGGGGGAAAGTTGTCATAACCTCTTGTGATCATTATTTCTGTCTAATCTGTCTGGATTTCAAATATCAGAGGGGTAGCCGTGTTAGTCTGAATCTGTAAAAAGCAACAGAGGGTCCTGTGGCACCTTTAAGACTAACAGAAGTATTGGGAGCATAAGCTTTCATGGGTAAGAACCTCACTTCTTCAGATGCTTATGCTCCTAGGGTTACCATATTTCAACAAGCAAAAAAGAGGACGGGAGGAGCCCCGCCCTAGCCCCGCCCCTGCCCCCTCCC